TTTGATGCTTCTTACAGTGTGTTCCAAATGGAACAGAATAGACACATCTATACCCTGTGTTTTGATGCTTCCTATGGCTTGTTCCAAATGGAACGGGATAGATATGTCTATGCCTTCTGTTCTGATGTTTCCTATGTTTTGTTCCACGTGGAAAAGGATAGAAAAGTTTCAGTAGACTCTAAGATCTGGTGGGCTTGTTGGCTACAAAAGCACTTCATCCCAGGAGTAACCTAGGAAGGTATTCATCATTTCGATGATTACCACTTCAATATTCTACATAAAGAGACAAAAAGTAGAGAGGGACATTATTATTAGACTATTAAATTATTTGTAATTGTAATTTTTAATGTTGAAGCCAATTTTCCTTCTCAAGTACCAAGGGTAAAGATAGTACGTAAAATGTAAATAAGTAAATATAGAAATTATTCCTACCTCTATTTTGACCTTTCTGCTGCCAGCAAAAATTATCGATTTTATCCATTCTATAATCACATATTTCTTCTAGGGGAGGTAGGCATTAGCAATAAAAATATCCAAAAATGGCATTCAGCAGAAGAAAGAAAAGTATTAAACTGAGTTACCAATCTATGAACAACTCAGAATTTTCTATAAAAATAGGTATTCTAAGGGGTTAGGATTAAGTTTTGGGAAAATAAATGAGTTAGAAGGAAATTAACTTAGTAGCCAATCCATTCTGGCAAACCACAGACTCGTTTTGTATTTACATATAACCAAAAGAAGAGAATGACAAAAATTTTGGCTTTTCTATGAAAATCAGGATTATAGCCCATGAGTACCAGGCAGCGAGCCTAAACTAAATGAAACCCATTTTATAAAGATTTTTTTCTTTTTCTATTTAATTTTAACTTGTGTTTTCAGAGGTGCTCATGGTAGATGGAAAAAGTCCCTTCCCCTTTCCATTGACCCAGCCTTAAATTATCATGGCTGGCCTACTACCCAACTCAAATACACTAGATAATTGCTTACCCTTTGCACAGACTAGTATTTTAGAAGCAATAATTCTTTCTTAAAGCAATTTTAAACCACTAGAAGACTTACAACTGGTACAGTTTCAGTCCTGGACCATAGTAGGAATAAATGGGCTTTTATTAAATGAAAATGCACCATTTTTTTGAAACATTGCAGTTAATGTTAAAATCTTGTTCTATTTCCTGCTTTTACAAATACGCCCAGAATCCTCCTTCCATACATCTCAATTGTGAAGAGCATTCTGGATTTTAGTTCTTTAACTCTTGCAAACCAAAAATATCTGCACAGAATTCATAGTAGATTCTGCTATGGTTTCAGTGAAGATGCATCACAGAATGATGGGAGTGTAATAGATCCACTAAACAGCTGAAGACACTTCCCCCAGGATGTGCCTAAAGGATACTTAACCATTCACAAGACGGTACCACATCTTTCTTTACCCTAATCTCATCAAATGTAGAAAAGTGCCTTACTGGGAAAAAAAATTTTTTAACAACCTCATTGAAATATAATTTATATGCCATAAAATTCACTCCTCTTATGTGTACAATCCAACGATTTTTTAATATTTACTAAGTTGTACAACCATCACCATCATCCAGTTTTAGAATGATTCCACTACCCTAGTAAGATCCTTCCTGTCTTCTCAGGAAAATTTTGAGGTAGAATTCAGCTTCTGCATTTATGACTCCTGTTTCTCAACTGCAACCCTATCCGAATGTGCAGTATCCTTCAGCTCGGTACATCTACTCCTGAGAAAAGCCTGTTTGCAGACAAGGGCCTAAAACATATCAATTGTATTGACTTGTAAATGATTACTCCTGTTCTGGAAATAGTGTATCCCCAAAGAAATAAAGGAATGTTCCCCTTAAATATTCCCTTCTCTCAGTAATCTCCATTTTAGTAATTGGCAAAGCCATTCTTTCAGTAGTTTGTGACAAAAGAGCCCTGGAGGCGTTCTTGACACTAGTCGTTTCCTGCAAGCCACTGGCAAATTCCCAGATCCTATCAGATTTCCCTTTCCATGTGTATCCCCTAGTTGGTTCACTTCTGGTTTCACTCAGCTTACCACCATCTTTGACCACGAATATTGGATTGGCTTCCCTTCTTCTGCCTCCCTCCTCTTTCGTCTGTTCAGCACAGGGTCTGAGTGGTCCTACTAAAATCTAAGTCACAGCATGCCAGTTCTTTGCTCAACATCGCCCAGGCGCTCCCCCATCTAACTCAGAGTAACAGCCACATTCTTCACAACGGCTATGAAGACCAGACAAATCCACCTCCCTCCTTGCTCTCAGTCTTCATCTTCCATTACCCCTCCCTGTCCCCTGCTTGACCCTCAGGCTCCTCTGCTGTTCTCTGAATACTGCAAGCTCACTTCTGCCTCAGGACCTTAGCATCTACTATTTCCTGGGACTGGACTGTTCTTCCTTTAGATTGTTGCAAGGCTGACTCCTTCACCTCTTTTATACAAACATTTCTTTCTCAGCAAAACCTTTTCTGGCTACCTTCCCTAAAACTGTAAAAAAATACCAAAAAAAACCCACCTCCCCCTACAGCTCCTGGGTGCTAGTTTTTATTTTTCTTATTGTCAGTTATCACTATCTACCCTACTATACTGGAGTATTTTACTTACTAATCTTGTTAAATGCTTCCTCTCACCCCAATTAGAATGATTGTGTGAGTGTGAGTGTGTGTGTGTGTGCCACAAGAACACACTCATAGAAGAACAAAAGAACATTTTTGTGTTTTCATTCACTTATTACCCTCAGTGCCTAGAATAGTGTCTGACACACAGTAGGTGCTCAACAAATATTTGTTGAATAAAACGGCATGAAACATGAGTGATAAAAGCACAAGCCAAAGAAACAAAGAGGAAGTTATTCATTTCCACCTTTGAACTTTCCCAGGAAGGCAGGAAGGATATTACTGGGGTAATGGGCTCATTCTGAAACTGGGTGATGGTGATGGTTACGTGACTCATAAACACTAAAAATCACTGGATTGTACACTTAAGATGAAGGAATTTTATGATATGTAAATTATATTTCAATAAAATTGTTTAAAAAATTTTCCCAGTAATGCACATTTCTACATTTGATGAGACTTGAGTAAAATGAGGAAAGATGTGGTACCATATTGTGAATGGTTAAGTATCCTTTAGACTCATCCTAGAAGAAATGTCTTCAGCTGTTTAGGGGATCTATTACACTCTCATCATTCTGTGTGTTCCCTGAAACTATAGAAGAATCTATTATGAATTCTGTGCAGATATTTCTGGTTTGCAAGAACTAAAGATGGGAATGCTCAATGTTGGGAATATTTGTAAAAGCAGGAAGTAGAACAGCATTTTAACGATGACTACAATGTTTCCAAAAAAATGGTGCATTTTCATTCAACAAAAGCTCATTTAAATTTGAGGACATACCTCTGATTCTAGACTGTTAAGGTGCTCGGATAGATACATTAAGAAGTGTTAAGACAGCATGGCCTTGCTCTTTCCCCAGAATGGATGCCTCTTAGGAAGTTACAGCCACATAACCGGCCCTGGGGACTGTCAAATGACCTCTGCCCAGATCCCACTCAACTCTTAAAGGTATTCAACATCTGTCTCCAGAGGCTGGGAACCGATTCTGTCTGATGCCTGAATTTTCAGCCTTGATCTGAGCGCACCGGACCAGATCCTGCAGGCAACTGAACAGATGGTAACACATTTTGACCATGACATGCCTGGATCGCATTTGAACCATGAAACTCAAGGTGAAGAGTTCTCAAGCCTTTTATTAATCCTCATGTCCTAACCCACAATTAATTGTTTATTTCACTTGCCTCTCTAAATCATCAGACCAGTTGCAGACACAGTCTTAAGACAAGGTTTGATGTCTTTATTTATAATTTCACTTTCAAGCTTGCTCAGTGTATTTGCCTCAGTTGGGGGAAAAAAATGCACGTTTCCTTTCTTGAAAGGACTTTTTAAAAGAAAGAACTAAAAATCCACAACCTACACTGTAATAGAATCCAATTTAAATTATTTTGATTTCAAGTTTCCCAGTTGAGACCTACGATTATGCAGAGAAGGGGGTGGTAATATTATATAGTGAGAAATGAATAGACTAGCGGAAATATATATTTTTTCCCAGTCACGGAACAGAAATTGTAACTTATACAGCTAGTTCTAACCTTCCCATAATGAAAGACACGTGATTGATGTTGTAAGTCTTATGTTATTTGTTAATATCACAATGCATTTTGTTTACAAGAAATTCAAATTAGCTTCCATGTAAGAGGATAACTCCTGCTTAGTAAGTGAACATGGCTAATCTCTATCTATGAAACTGGATCTTGATGATCAGCCAAGCAGATATATAATTAATTCAAAAGGCGCATAGCCGTCTAAACACAATTGGAGAAATAAACACAGAGGTACCATTAATATCTAGTCAAATTATGTCCTTTAACTATCCCAGACTAAACTAACCACAAATGTAACACAGTTAACATTCATCTGATTCCACAGAGGTTTTAAAATAGCAACGAAATCAGAACTGAAAAAAATTATAACAATGATAAAGTGACTCAGGAGAGGTGTAAGTTCTGGATGTTATGACATAAAAGAGATTAATTCACACTCAATTTAACAATCATTTCAAGAAAAAATGCATAGTTCAAAGTAGCTAAAACTAACCCTTCCTCTCCAAAAATTAATTGAATGGTGCTGATGCAGAATATCTTGACACAAAGCCTCCACAGAAGTTGATGATGGAAAACCGCCACTTCAAAGTTGAGAAAATCCCATTATATTATCTTTTGTGACATCTCGAAGGTAAAAAGCCCAGGGATGTCCTTCATCATAAATTCACATGGGACCTTCAAACACATCTGGTCTCATTCGCTAAGAACAGCAAAGCCACCTGTTGGCACACCATAAATATGAACACGGAGACACGATGGGTCTGCATCCCATGTGTGTCCAGGAGGAAGGCGAGTGTCCGGGGCAGGAAGACGAGACTGACCTTTGGAGGAGCGGAAGTGTTTGCTGGGGGCAGTGAAGCCTCGGGTCCCGTGAACATTGACAGCCGCCACTCGGAACTGGTACCACCTGCTGGGCCGTATGTCAGTCAGTTGAACCCGCTCATCTGTGGTCTGAGGGGAAATGTCACAGAGCACAGAGAACCCTTTGATTCTGACATGTCAATCGGTCTGTTTTAAAAATACACTCTCATCGGCCAACACAACGCAGCCTTGACCTCTCTCTACCTCCACCCTTCTGGATAAAGATCTCTGGAAGTCAAAACTTTATGAGAAATGCTTGGGCCATTTTTAAATCTGATGACTAAATACAGCATTTGATGGATTCAATCAATAAATTATACATATGAGAGAATATATATATGAGCTAATCATTACACTATAGACAAGAAGATGAAATCTTATAGAAAGCAGACGCGTTTTTAACTTGCATGTTAAATATAATTTTGGAAGTAGGAATGAGAACCCACACATTTAAAGAATGCTAACAATTTCTGGAAGTAAATTGCAACCCAAGACTCTTTTTTCATTTGAGTAAATCACATAACATCTGCAAGGACTCGGTTCTGGTCCTGAAGGGTGAGGTGTGTTAATATACCCTTGTCCAATAATATATCCAAAGAAAAAAACTGGACACTGGGGCCATTCCATAGGTTTTGCTGTCTCTACTGCTATAGTCCCAAGATATCAAATAACTTTAACAGTATTCATAACTCCCTCCTTCATCAGACTAAGGGAAAATATACCTGGTTTCAAAAATGATCTCCGGTAGATCTGAAAACTTTTGCCTCGACTTCCAAGGAATGAATGCCTGAATTCTATGCCTCATCTGTGCCTAGTGTCGAACTCAACTTGGCCTTCAGTGGATGAAACCGGGGAAGAATTGAATTGAAACCCTCCCAAACCTCAGTTTAAAATAACTTATGGAAAAGGATTGTCACATTTGTTTTAACGTCTAAAAGAAGCTAAACATTCTGAAATCAAAGGAAGAATACGGGCCGGCCCCGTGGCTTGGCGGTTAAGTGCGTGCGCTCCGCTGCCGGCGACCCGGGTTCGGATCCCGGGCTCGCACCGACGTGCTGCTTCTCCGGTCATGCTGAGACCGCGTCCCACATACAGCAACTAGAAGGATGTGCAGCTATGACATACAACTATCTACTGGGGCTTTGGGGGAAAAATAAATAAATAAAATCTTTAAAAAAAAAAAATAAAAAATAAAAAAAAATAATAAAAAGGAAGAATACAACCTCTTAAACGTGGCTTTCTACCTCATTTGGCAGAAATTGAGACATTTTCACTGACTTCATCATTTAGAGTTTTAGCCTTGAATTTAAAAAAGTAAAGCCAGCATGATATCCAGAGCATTTAGCAGACAAAGAAAGGAAGCATTACATGTGGTAACTAGTGAGAATAGTGATAATAATAATTTAACATCTTTCCTCTTTCTGAAAAAGAAAGGATGAAAGAGATGATCTTATCAGTTACTTTCATAAATCTTTAAATAATTTGGAAAATTTACAAATGATATATTGTACGATTGTTTAGGGGAGCACATCAGGTAAATCAAACAGAATTTTAGGCTGTATTCTGAACATCTTTATGTTTTATTAAAGCAAATTTTTTTACAAAATAGGTATGGAATAGAATTACTAAATTTATTTGACCAGCTGGTTTTTTTTTTTTCCCCTAATTTAAGATGTTTCTTGCAGCAAACTTCTCATTTATTTTGGGGAGGTCTTTAAAGTATTTTAGTGTTTATCCTCCTTGAGATCCTACTATTGAGAAAAAAAACGAAATTCCTCTTCCAAACGCCTGAATACTGAAATTTATTTTATATATACTTAAGAAAATAATGGGAATCTTGTCCTTGGAGAAGAATGATCTGATCAACTTAAGGTGAGACTTTTTCCCTATAGACATACATTTGGAGAAGGCATTTTAGTTGTTGAAAAGCATGAGGCAGTTTCATATTGAGAATTGATTCTTTTTCTATATCCGTGTAGTTTTCTTGCAGCTGGTAGTGCATTTAGCAGCTCTTAAAAAGAAAGAAAATATTTTGCTTTTCTCATCGGCAAGACAGAAGAGGAAGAAGCACAGCTAAGACAAACTCCAGGAGTGTTGCCATCCAGGTGGCGTATCGGTTTGTAAGTGGGCTAAGACGAAGAAGAAAGCACTTAGCAAAGATTTATGAGCTGTTGGCTACTTCCCACTAAGTAGTTTTGTGATATGAATCTTACTCCATGCGACTAAAGTCCTTGTGTAAATGTAGGAAAAACAGAAGAGAAGTCATTGAGATGATCAAACGTCATGTTAACTAGTCCTAACATTGCTTCATTTCTCTTACTCTGGTTGGTTTTAAGTGTATTTCAAGGAAATGTAGTTCTTGGAGAAAATAAATGTGAACACTGAGCTTAGAAAATTACTTCCCTTCTACATGTATTTTGAGCAAATTAAGCCAACAGTCAAGTTCCTAGTTGTACCAGGTGGTACCTACAGAGCTCATGCTGTCTTCTGCAGATATACGTGATATTTCCACATCTGATTAAGTGATTTCGGCAGTCAGGCAATTTTGACTGAGGCATATCAAGTTAATTTTATATCTGTAGGTGTGTAGGTAGACATTACCTCAAGGGAAAAAAAAAAAGTCTATGAAGCACTCACCTGCGCTACTGTCTGCCAATGTGTGGCATCGTCTTCACTAGGATGGATTCCATAATTCCATCTTCTTTGTACCACATATATCACAGGCTCAATGGAAATATTGAATTTCGAGGACCACTTAATCTCCAGCTGTCCAGACTGCAGTTCTGTAAATCGTAACTCCTTTCTGGGCTTCAGGGGGACACCTGAAACAGGACCACGTCAATTAAAACAATCTGCGTGTGACTCAGAGCGAGGCGAAAGTTGAGGAAGAAAATCTATAGAGGAGACGAATCTCATCAGATGATAACCAATACTCTATTTCCCTTCATGAAAGTGGCCTCTCCATATTAGGGTTTCACATTTGATCTCTTCTGACACTAACTTCACTTTAGCTTTCCCATTTTTTTTTTAAAGGGTCTAAATTGATTCCTGATTCAGACAAGTTTTTTTCTCCCCGGTAATCTCAAGAGCAATTCTTTTTACGTGCATTCTTCCAAATAAATAACGTCACCAAGTTGCATCACTTGAGGATAACAGGGAATGCTCACAAGGTGATAGTCGTAAAGAGTTTCAAGTCTTTTCCCCGTTTAACATACTGGGTTTCTATTGATAGATTCCAAGGTCATTATAATATGGTTCCCAAGTTTGCTCTCCTTTCTATCTCAGGGAGCTTTCCTTTTAAGGAAAACATTTTAAAGTTCAATTCCCTCATGCAGTCAAGTCTTACAAGAAAGTTCCAAAGTGTGAGTCTTCTGGATTCCCCAGCTGATTGCTGGGGCTCTCTCCTACAGACTTGTGGTTTAAAATTGGAAAATGATGAATTTATAATGTTTGGTTTTGGCACGAGTGAGTGCCTTGCTTCAAAAGTCCCTCACAGGTGTCCCATTTTAAAGTAGTTAATCATTCTGATTGCTTTTTCCCCTACAGCGCATGCAAGTTGTCTGGTAACTGAAAGATTTAAGAACCGTGGTTCAATATAGTAGCCATTATGGAAAGAGATTTTTAAAACAAAGTTATAATACTAATGGGATTATGTAAAACAAATTGAATTAGGTAGAGTCTATGGCACCATGATGTTCAATGCCATCAAGACCAAGAACACTAGTTGCCATTAATATCATTTTCTGTTGAGAAGGAGCATTTGCCTAAAGCATTGACCACCCATTTGAAAAAGTGAGTTCGGAATGCTCTATTTCTTTTCCCATTTCTTAAGTTTAAACAGAGAGGAAACTGGAAAATGTGCAAATACGTTTTCAAAATGTACATTGAAAATTCAAAACGTACATTTCAAAAATGTAAATTACATTTGCAAGATGTAAATAAGATCTGATGCACATTACTGACATGGCTGAATTTCAACTCATTTCATTTTGATATTAATTCAAGCTAGGTCTTGTCTGGGGAAGTTTTAAAGTCATTAAATATTTAGGTGGATGGCGTTGGATAATTTAAAAATGGCATATTTATACCTGCTCAACAGGTCATTGATTTTCTTTTTTCTCCCAACAGTTTCTTTTTTTTTTTCTTTATTGTGAAATTTTTGTTGTACCTTATTGTTTGTCAGTCACCATATAAATGCATCTCTTCACCCCTTGTGCCACCCCCCACCCTCCTAGCCCCTGGTAACCACCAAACAGTTCTCTCTGTCAATGTGTTAATCTTCCACTTACGAGTGAAATCAGGTAGTGTTTGTCTTTCTCTTTATGGCTTATTTCACTTAACATAATACCCTCTAGGTCCATCCATGTTGTTGCAAATGGGACAATTTTGTCTTTTTTTGTGGCTGGGTAGCATTCCATTCTATATCTATACCACATCTTTTTTATCCAATCATCAGTTAAGGGACACTTGGGTTGCTTCCATGTCTTGGCTATAGTGAATAATGCTGCAGTGAACATAGGGGTGCATAAGCCTCTTTGGATTGTTGATTTCAGGTTTGTTGGGTAGATATCCAGTAGTGGGATAGCTGAATCATAAGGTATTTCTATTTTTAATTTTTTGAGGGATCACCATACTGTTTTCCATAGAGGCTGCACCAGTTTGCATTCCCACCAGCAGTGAATGAGGGTTCCTGTTTCTCCACAGCCTCTCCAGCATTTGTTGTTTTTTTGTCTTGGTGATTATAGCCATTCTAAGGGGTGTAAGATGATGTCTTAGTGTAGTTTTGATTTGCATTTCCCTGATGATTAGTGATGTTGAATATCTTTTCTTGTGCCTATTGGCCATCTGTATATCATCTTTGGAGAAGTGTCTGTTCATTTCCTCTGCTTGTTTTTTGATCGGGTTCTTTGCTTTTTGGTGTTCAGTTCGTCATGGATTTTTAAAAACTATTTTCTAGAGAACACATTCAGCATACCCATAGCATTCTCCATTTTGACTTGCTTATGGGTTATATCTGCAGATCGCCCTTTACTTTACCAGAAAGTCGTCCCACCTGGTCCTGACTGCGACTTCACGACGTGGGTGAAGGGTAAAGTATCTACTTTCAGAACATCAGGGAATTGAGTCTGAGGAAGAGTAAGTTGGTTGCCTGGAGCTATGCCCTGATCTCAGGTTTCTCTCTACATCTTCTGCTTCTTTCCACATTCTGAATTAGGAAAAGCCACTTAGAAAGGTAGACAAAAGAGATGGTTTTCATAGATCTGCAAATCCCTTGGACATTCCGATTCTAGTGTCCTTGCTGTTCCTGGTTGGTGTGGGACTTCTCTCAGGTAGTCTGTGCTCTAGTTCTGTCACTCCAGGAGTATTTTTCAAGCTCGGGTAGTAAACTTTTCCTCTCAGTTCGTAAGCTTACATTGGGGGTTACACTCACTTTCACGACTAGCATATTTCTGCCAAGTGAGTGATTCTCAAACCTATGCCCAGTCCCTCTCTGGCCTGCAGGTCCCCCACCCACCCGCCTGCCGAACGGATTTCTCCACACAAGTCCCACCTCAAACGCCTCTCCTCCAAATATGCCCCTTCCCCTGTGATATATATATCTTCACGACAGCTCCATGCTTTTGGATATCCAAGAGACCTTTTGACTTGTTCTTGCAGCTACCAACATCTTGTTGTTCTATTGCATAGTATGATTTCAGGAATTCCCAAATCATTCTGTCTCCATGGTGACCACCCCACCTTAGGCCCTTCTCTCCCCTCTGGACTTTCACAACAGACTTCCAAAGCCTCTCCCTACAAGTCCATCTCTTTTGTCTAATTCCCTATTTTGTGGTTACTTTCCTGGAGTAGAGAAGAGATTCTCTCCTTCACTTTCTCACACTTTTCAGTTACACCCCGTTTTTTAGAGAATGAAGGGAAACACCTCTGCATCTCCTTCAAGGCATACATCTTTATGATCTACTACCAGTTATCTTTCAGTTTATCTCTTTTTACATCTTACATATTCATCACATAGCCTACCTTTCAACCCAGCTTTTCTAGAAGCACTCTGCCAGGTACTTACTACCATGGCCTGCTTATGTTTTTGTCACTCTGAAATGTCTTTCCTTCTATTTCCTGACTATAGATCCTTGAATACTTCCAGGCTCAGTCCAAATGCCACCCCTCTGAGCCACTCTCCCTAATCCTCCCAGTAGGAAATAAAGGCTCCATTCTTCTGCCCGCTCCCCAACATTTAGCCTGTAACTGCCAAGACGTGCATTTAACTGCCTCTACTGCAGCAAGCTCATTTAATGATGTCTGTCTTCCTCACTAAGCGTTAGCCCCCAGAGGTCAAGAAACGTGTCTCCTTCACTCCTACACCTCACAATGTCCCAGGAGAGAACACTCTGCAACAGCAAATGTTCAGTAAATGTTTGCTGAAGGAGTAGCTCAACCCACGTTCTTCTTTTTCACTGAAGAATACATCTGGGGAAATAAGGGGATGCTGGAACATTTACACAGATCTTTTCGGCAATGGCAAACCCCTCTCTGTTGGAGAGTCACTCAGGGAAGAGAGAAGCCTTATCACAGATATTCGTGCCTCCTCCTCGATCACAGATTCTTTCAAGGAACTCACATCTCTCTTTTCCATCAAGGATATATTACTCAAACATTTGTTTACTCTTACTATTCTAAAAGGTAAATACTAAATAATAAATAAATCAATATTAATACGTTTACAAGATGGAACAGTTTCATTGCATTGACAGAATTTTCTCAGTTAAAAAAAATTCCTGACAATTCCTGATATAATGGAAATCTCCAAGTTAACTGATAATAGATTTTAATCCACAAGTGGCTCTCTATTCTTTTTAGGTCAAGAAAAAAGCCACCAAAATTTGTTCAGAGTGATGACAAACCAATCTCGACATAATGATTGGTTTGTATCATTCTTGCATTCAAGCTGGGCAGGTGGGCACGAGACAAATATTTCCAGTGAGGAGGTATGCAGATAGAGAAAGAAAAAGGAGCCTCTGAGAACATTTCATGACTCACTTGATTTCTTTGTGCATGGTTAAGAGATGAGTGGTTAGTTCTTTAAACTCGTAGAGCACATTCTCTGAGACTTCCAAATCCATCTTTCTTCTTGGCTCTTCGACATATAATCCTCCAGGATAAATGTGGCTACTCTGAACACTCTAGCCATTGAAGTAAGCCGAACTCATCAGAAGCAAACCCAAGCAGCCAAATTCCCTTGCTATAAGGTTTAAAGCTTGAATATCATTCAACAACCCAGGGCCTTAATGGAAGATAATGAGCATCGGGGCAACGTCAGTTCAAATTTCTTCATTTAAAAAATCTCTTTAATTATGACGTACAATAATCTTGCGATTTGCATGTTAAGAAAGCATCCATCTGCTTTGCATTAGGGTCAGCTGGCTCCCTTGATTGGAAGGAACCCCAGCACTTGGCTGTAATTGTGTGCAGATGGGTCTTGGCCCCCAGACCTCCAGCCCCCACTGCCAGTCCTTCTACACAGTCCTTGCTAGCTCAACCAGCATCCCAATTGCATAACCAGATGTGTAGAATGGATCTCTCCTCGGTGTGTTTTTATTACGTAAATGACTAGAATTGTTCTTTCTTTATTATTTTTGAACAAATTTAGTCATCTGAAATCTAAACTATTCTGTTACAAAATTCAAAAATGCTATCATATAACATCCTACTATAGGTGACAATATAGGTGCATTTTCTTTCCCTTTAAAGTGTAACAGGTATTTTGGTGCAATCAAAGGAACAGAAACTCAATGCTTTAAAAAATGTTGAAAATATACTGATAGAAAAATCAATGATGATAGATAATCAGCCATTGCAAACTATCAGATTTTGCAAATTATGAGATTTGGTCATTCATGTAAAAATATTTGTCATGAGTCTAAATGTCAGGAAAATGTGTCAAGACACAGTTTTCCAATGATTCAATAATTAATATTAATATGTCTCATAAAGATAATCAGTATTTAAGGAATTTACGTTTACATCCTAGTAAGGCATTGGGTCACTGTACTCAAACTGCTAAAAATTAATTTGTGAAAAGTGGTATTAGTACATCTCTAAAGGCCTGAAGCTGAAATATTGCAAATATTAAAATATTCATGAAAATATTAAATCATCTCCATCATCAGATCTTTTTGGAAAGAAACAAATGGATATACAATTAATTCTTGGTTGTGCATGGTAAAGGGAAACTATAGAAAACTGAAAGCGACAAATTAATCTGAATCTTTACATCGGAAAACAATTTCAGCCTTTCTCTTTCCATACCCAAACAAATGGGGCCATGGATGGGAGCCAGGAGAGGCAGTAAAATAATAAAGCATATCACCTCTCGAGGGAGGAGAGTCTAACACAGCTGTAAATCAGAGTTAAAAGAGGAAAGGGAGGGGCTGGCCCAGTGGCATAGTGGTTAAGTACGTGCACTTTGCTTCAGCAGCCTCAGGTTTGCAGGTTCAGATCCTGGGTGCAGACCTACACTGTTCATCAAGCCATGCTGTGGCAGCGACCCACATACAAAATAGAGGAAGATGAGTACAGATGTTAGCTCACCACTCTTACTCACCAAAAAAAAAAAAAAAAAAAATAGAAAAGGGAGGGATTCAAAGGGAAAATAAATGCCCCAGTATGCTATCATTTCTATTTTACCTGTGGAAGATCAGCCTCTTAAACTTTCCACAATGATACTGAGGTTGCATTCCCTAGAACTAGCACCTTCGGGGGTCCGTTAGCCGTGTTAACATTTTCAAGTCTTCTGGAATGCTGCAAATAAGCTTCTTCATCGGAAGGATGAAGGGAAATCTCTCTGTTATTTTCCTTGGACTGTTTCAAACTATGAACCTGGTCTGTAAAGTTAACTTGGAGGCATCCACTAAGGATAGTTCTTAGAGCATAACTCAAATTAAATGCTCAAATAGAATGGAGTATTGGGTTGATCATCTTTTCAACACACACATTGTCTTTAAAAACTCAAGTTTCCAGCATATAAAGCTTTTGAAGCTATAAAGTCAGTTCTCCTCCACCCCACTCTTCTCTTTCACAAACACAGGAGACAAAGCAGAAAGTATGTATGTGTTTCCATACTTTTTTTTTAGTTTAATTAACCTAATAAACAATAAAAGGAAAAATAGGACAGGGGTTTGTATGTATCAATTTAGTGCATTAGTTAAGAAAATGATTTGTCCACTTAAATGAGTACTGCACGCATGACCTCTTTGATAAGGAACTACTGGATGGAGGTTGGTGTCATACTGATTTTGCCGCCAATACCCAGTACTAATCATAACAGATTTTAGGTACTCCTAATAACTCCTAACAATAGTCAGTAGGTATTTATTGAACTGAAATGCATCAGTACTTGTAGATCCAGGCAACAGTAGTCCCTGTGAAACTCGAAATGAAGAAAACATTAAGAAAACACTCTTTAGGATTTCCAAATAGCAACTACCTGTGAGATCACACTTGAATAAGTAAATAATCGATGAATGAGAAGGACATGAGGAGCTTACAGGTTTTCAGTATTTGTCCAATAGAATTTGGTTATTCAGAAGGTACACTTTGTATCTAGTTTAAATACTTCAACTCTACAAATTAGTTGACAATTAGTTCAAAGAAAAAAATCTCCATGTTATTCCTTAGCCTAAAACAATGGATAAACCAGGGATTTTATTAGATTAAGGAAAGCAGGACAATGACAGCTGGTACTGCGAAGACTGCCAAAGTTGATTTGGTGCATGCTGTCTGGCTGGGCATGTGTTTTTCTCCTCGAAAAGCCAAGAGCCAGGTCAGAAAGGACACTTTCCCAGAGAGCCTGGGGCCGTAAGCACACGATCCTCTTTTGAGAGTGAGCAAGCAGTCTGACTCCTGGTTAGGAATGCGATCAGGGACTCCAGGTGGCTAATAATTAGCTAAGGTTGTCATTGAAAGGATCGCAACAGGCTCTTCTGGAGCCCCCTCTTGGTTACACACGCTAACTTATTCCTTGGCGTTGTCAAACGCTCCCAGTTCGTGGAAGCCAGCCTTCCTTCAGGGGCTACTGAAGAGAGCACGGGAAACATATCTACATGTACATATATATTTTTTTTCAAAATGACACTATATTACCCTTATGCTTATTATGCAAAAGTCATTGTCAGGTGAACAGAGTCTGTTTATCCTATTTGTGGTTAGTTCACGAATTGCCTCTCTCTGGAAAAAATCCAAGTTAAGAGCTACTTTGTAGTAGAAGAGTGACTTTAGCACTTCAAAAAAAGAGATCCATCACATTTAGTTAAGCAGGGGTTTAAATTGCAAGTATCTTTTCATAATTAATCACTTATGTTAGCCCTTTGTAGAATATTTCCCTTATTCTCCGTGAATCAGGCATACTTGAAATTCATACTGACTCGTCAATGCTTTTTTATAAAAAGTGTATTTTAACCTGTATTTCCTCTTTAAATTACCCTACTTTTAAAACACTAAAGGTTTTACAAATGGGTTTTCAACAATCATTCTAAAAGCATCCTATTTTTATAGTAAATGCTAATGTTTAAATAGCAAATGATCTATAATAACAGAAAAGGTTTCATAATAATAGACATTTTAAAAATTAAATGGTGTTAGATGTTGCAAAAGTGATTCTATGTGGTTTATTATAAGAGGCATGAAAACAATAAAACTTTAAATCCACTAAAGAAATGCTACTCAGTGGGAAGAGGAAAGTGGCAATTATTTTAAATGTAAGACAATATTTATGCCAGATTTCCAAGGATCCTAGGTGGAAAAAAAAAAAAGGAAAACTGATGGATAACACAGATTTCAGATAGGAGTATTTCCAAGTGAGAGGAGGGGAAGATGAGGCAGGTACGTGACTTCTGGGAGATGTAAATTGTTACGAGGGTAAGAATGGACTTCTGAAAATAGTTAGCCAGCACGCAGTTCAAAAAAGGCATTGCTGGTCAATACTGATTTATACATAGTTTTCAAAAAAGCTTACCTATATTTAGAAATAATATATATTTGGCGTGTGTGAGTGAAAGTAAGAGAGACAGAGACAGAGACAGAGAGAGACAGAGACACAGAGACATTACTCTTTCTACTTGGAATGAATAATATCTACTGATTGAGTCTCTCTATTTTCCTCTACAAATTAGACCCACAAAAGTAGCAAAATGTTATGTCTCATGGTATACTTTTGCGGTATCCAAAACTGCACATAATACGACAGCATCAGTTTGGCATAAAAGAACTTAGCTACCTTTAGAGAAAGAAGCAAGTAACACTTAGCATAGAGGAGTTAAGTGCTCTAGAAACTGCTCCACCTAGGATCTCAAGATACTAATCAAAATATTTACAGTCCATACAATGACACTTCTGTTCTTGGATTATGCCAACAGAAAAATCACAATACTGGGGCACTTATTATGCATTTTTCAAGTGTGCCCCATTCCAGCCTATTTTCAAGGATTTAAATCAATTTATTCCAATGTACCCAGTGGAGCTTAACTGATTTGTTCTTACTGGAGAAAAACACAAAAAAAGTTCCTGATTGGATGCTGTTCTTCCTACATGCTAAATTTTTAAAAAATTAGGAATACTACTCAGCCATAAAAAACGATGAAATCCAGCTATTTGTGACAACATGGATGGACATTCAGGGTATTATGCAAAGTGAAATAAGTCAGAGGGAGAAGGTCAAATACCGTGTGATTTCCTTCATTAAGTAGTAGATAATAACAACAACAAACACACACACAGAGACAGAGATTGGATTGGTGGTTACCAGAGGGGAAGGGGGGAGAGAGGAGAGCAAAAGGGATAATTGGGCACATGTGTGCGGTGATGGGTTGTAATTAGTATTTGGGTGGTGAACATGATGTAATCTATGCAGAAATAGAAGTATAATGATGTACACCTGAAATTTATACAATGTTATAAACCAATGTTACTGCAATAAACAAAAAATTAAAAAAAAAAATTAACATGAATGATTTGCTCTGCCCCAATGTGAGTTCATTGTGGCTGAAATCTATGGTTCCTTAATATTTACAGATGTTTGTATATGGTGCAAAGTACATTTTCTTAAAGTTTTCTCTTTTCTTGCAGTGGACATCTTTGATTGACCCTGCACACCCACAAACCCATGTGAGGCTGCAGGTCCCTTCACTTCCCTGGCTTGCTCTTTACCTTTGTACAGTGTCTTGGGCACCTGGCAGGTGTGGCCACATCCATTTGAACAACATTTCTTAACCCCAGAGCACTCGTTGTCAACTTCGCAACTTTCAACGCAGGCGGCGGCAAATCCGCTGGCTTTCTCGGGGGCCGGGCAGTCCCCCTGCCTCACCGACAGGATGTATTTCAGGAACTCACAGCTCGTCAGGCATTCGTAGTTCTTCTTGGGGAACAGAGGCTAAGGGAGAACAGAAAAAACCTTCCTTAAAGATGACACCTGAGGTCTGATTTCCAAGACACTGGAAAGGAAGGTCAAAACTGTTATTCTGTCAAAATTTCCCTCAAATGTTTTACAAAATAAATGTATTTGCTTTCTCCTCACTAAAGAAGTAATATTTTATGCTAATTTCCTAAAGGAATACGACCTATGAGCTATAACTTTATATTGCATGCAACAGATACATATCAATTATACGCACACACATTAACAGACTACGTTCTGAGTTCAGAAACACTTGTCAAATAATTGATTACAAATATTCATAAAACATGTTAGGTCTAATTTGAAGGGCCCTTTAAGACTACTGTATACATACATCTATTTTCTTTCTCTAATGAGTCATTTTTATTTTTTTCCATATCCTGTAAATACTAATCAAAATAGGTTAGCTGTAGCCCTGTGGAAACTTTACAGTTCCCACAGCACTAACGCATGTATTGACATTTTATCAAAAACTGGTCTAAGCCTCAGTTAACTGAACCTATTTCAATAACACCCAGTTTTTAGAGTTAATGTGCACATGGGATCTCTTATCAATGTGGAATTGTCAATGAGTTGTGCAGTAAAAGAATGTGAATCATTTTTCAAAGTCACGGTACACATATGTTATATGTGACATAGTGTCAGGTTCTGAACAGCATCTAGCTGACGACATTTCCGTTGAATCAATCAAACATTAGCGACAACAGGTATTCCTTGACTTATTAGGGGCACGCATTACTGAAAAAGCTTGAGTCATGGAAAGGCTCATTTATCAAAGGCATGTTTTTCCTTTGGAAAAATGGTTCAGGACAGAATTTGGGCATACGTAGGATATGAGCTGCGGCCGGAGGGTAAGGGCTTTTCCTCCACTGACATGGGAGCTGCTGAGGCTCCTGACAGCAGCCTCGCCCAGGGACAGAAAGGGAACAACACTCTCCACACTCTGGACCTCCTTCTGCCTTAGGAGGACGGCTGACAGGACAATCGCCATAATCCTAAATTTCGCCCTAACCCTCCTTTTGCCTTTATGAAGGTGCTTGCCAAGATAGGTACCCCAATCCTAACCCCATCCCTCTAACCCCAATTTCCCCTGAAACACACCTGTCCAGCCAGGTAAAATCCCCAGGCTCCGTTTACCCCCTTTGTAGAAGCGGCCACGTTGTCACTAATGGAAAGTTTCGTGTCACTGTGAGCCCAGGCTCTTAGGCTGTGGGGTGGTACTGCCGCATGCAACTTCTCCCTTTCTGGCTGGCTCTGGGTGATGCCACAGCCCTGCACGATGGTAGAGCCACAGAAGGAAAGACAGCAGGATGCAGCAGGACACGTGGAGGAGAGCACCCTGCCAGGCAGCCCCCCTTGAACTGCTCTGTGTGCTCAGAGTGAACACACCTGGGTCTGAACTCCACTATAAGCTGGGATCTGTGTGCTACGACCGTCCAGTCTGTGCTAACCCACGCAAAGACCAGCGTCTCAGAGTGGTTCCCAAGAACACCTGTCTGAGCTGCTTCACATTGGAAGTAAGAGGCAAACAAGGAACACACTTTCTGTTTATTATTTGATGTCAAGTCAGAGCCAGTGATACCAGAAATAAATGTGGTAGCATTGGCGAACACAAACCCAGGGGAGAATACGAGCATCATATGTGGCTAATGCCACCATGCTGCCTGCTGCTCCACACTGACACCAAACCACAATTCATTGCTGCTAGTGCCTGGTGACACCTGAATAATACCTGGTAACATTCGCCGTGGACTGCCTGCTGCTCCTCACTGATGACTGACCACAGCCCTCTACCATCTGGCGACACCTGGGCAACATCTAATAACACCTCCTACCTGTAACACTTGGGCAACACCTGGGACGACCTCCCCATGTGCTGCCCGTTGCTTCTCAATAAAGACTGAACAGGGCTCTCGACCGTCTGGTGACACTTCGTAACACCTGCCAGCATGCTGCCCACTACTCCTCACTGATGACAGAGATGACCCTCTACTCAGATAGGTCACACCTAGGTAACCTGGCAGGAGACAGACTTAGCGATTGGTTAGGGCTATTAGCTAGAGGGCGTCTCACACAATGGTAGACTTATGTTAAGAAAAACAAAAAAAGAGAAAGAAAACCCCTCACCATTATCCAAGTCCCTGTTTTGGGGAGTGGGAGGAGAGAAAGAAAGGAATGTCTCTACATCTTTTCCCAAAAGAGGGTTAATTATAGCCTATTATTTCTCATGTTGATGATGACTGGAAATGCCATTGAAAACCCAAAACATGATAACTTCAGCAAGCACATGTCCCAGTAACCCCTGGATAACTACTACACCAGCATAGATCGTTCTCGCATGCTTCTCCTGGTTCATCCCCACAAACAACATGGAGCTAATAATCTGTGTGAGAGTTAAGGTGGTAAATGTTATGTTATGTGTATTTTACCACAATTAAAAAAAAAAATCTATGTAAGAGCTAGAAATCTGTATATTCCATGGGGATGTGTGCAACGTCAAACAGTGCTGTTCTCTTATAGCCACAAGAGGCTTTCTGATATTGTGAATTTAATGCGAATCAGGGCATCAATACCCCATGATAATTAAATACAAGAGAAAGATTTCATGCTCTTAGATTAATGAGCAGAGGAAGAAAAACTAGAAACACTAGCTAGAAAAACTATCATTCCATGGTGTGAGTTAGAATTGTGGATGTCAAATAAAATTGTTAATTATTAATCATACTCAAAATTTGAAAATAACATGAATTGACTGGATTAAATAGTGTCTCAATTTAAGAACTTTCCAAGTAAAACTTAGAAGAAAGGCCATGGTTTCAGTATTGAATTACCACAAATTTGTAGCTAGTTAATTAAAAAAAAAAAACTTTCTAAAAATTGAAAGCATCATCAGTTCTTAAGGCTTTTCTCTCGTACTCAGTTTCACAGTTCATTTTCCTGTTAGCTGCTAGATGTGTTTTACTCCATTGGCTTTTGAAGTTCTAAATTTAGGTCCAAACCTAAGTTAGCAATCAGAGAAGTATACAAACTTGTCTGTAACAATTATAGAATGTTTGCCAGCTTTCTTCTTCAAACAAAGTGCATACACTATATGCACTAAAAGAAAATACTTAGTTAGCAAAATCAGTGGCCTTCACCACACGAGCTGAGATTTCCAAGTAGAAATAGTTTTATTAAATCTGACCAGTGTTTACTGCTTGCTAACTTGGAAATCACAGTAACTTAGTTTGCACTGTGGTATAATCAAATCACCACAGTTAAAACTTTTTCACGTACTAAAACAGGGTATGAGTCAAGAATCACATAACAAAGTATGGACTCACTGTTCACTTGTTATTCTAATTACCCACATGCCAACCACCACGGTCTTGAACTCGGAAGGTCAGGAGAAGTATGTCCTCATCTTCGCAACTTACTGAGCTGTGAGGCAGAATTAAAAACAAACAAACAAAAACAGTGGCCTGCACAGATCTAAAATGTGTTCTCAACGAGGGTAAAAGAATGATCATACTACCACCATAATCTTGATCTTCCAGTTGATGTGAGAATGGTCCAATATTCTTCCTTTTTGGTATGGATTCAAAAATGTGAATTTTGTGATTATTTTGAGGACCACGGGGAACAACAAGCTCATCTTCTCACAGGAGTTTTCTAGACTCGTACACGAGCTTGGAATAATACAAACAACATTATGAATATTACGCGAGATCGTATACACAAAGAAATAAGCGCTATTGTGCAGGGTGGGCCCACAACAGAGACTCAACAGAAGTGGAGTAATTGGCGTCTTTTCTCTTTTCCCACTGCTACAAGTTTACTGTTTAACATTTCCAGATCCTTCTGCCATTCTGACAAAAATGTGATAAGATCCAAAGACTGAAGATTGGCTCTGTTTCTTCTACAGTGTGAGCATCCACAAGAATCCAACAGGCTATGGAAATCTGCATAGAATCAACTGGGCCCTGTTGGAATTCATAAGAAATAGTCTATGTTTTTTAACTTAAATGAAGATCATTTTACAAATACGTGGATTTGGTTCAATAATCTTACAGAGGAGTTCTATCTAACTCTTCTATTGTTTATACGTGTTGAAGGCAAATTTTGATGTTTTCTATAAATTATCTTGGATAATTATCTTGGATTAGGCTGAAAAATATTAACGGTCTGAATACAAATTGGAGAACATATGGTGTCTGTAAATAAGGTTTCTCACTAGGTCTTTAATCATAGCTTAATGAGAATTTACTAATTGAATAAAGGACAAAAATGCATACAGGTCAGAGAAAATGATGTGTGAATATTAATACTCTAGACATAAAGAAAATGTGTAAATTGGTCCCCTAATTGCCAGTTGGAAATCATGTGAACAAAAGGTCATTTGGGGGCCAGAAAAGAAAGTTCTGACCATTAAGCATATAATATTTCCTGAGATGTTATTGGTTATTTCCTCCTAGACTTGTCAAAAGGAATGTGAACATTTCAGGAAAGGTGTGAGTTTTCTAAATCATGATTAGTATAATACCCATCGACTTCACGGTAAATGAAAACCCGTGTGGCAACACACATGTATGTGCTAAATGCTGTAGTTCTTGTGTATACAATTATACCCAGTCTATTAAGGCAAATTATTAATTGTAAAGCTAATGTAGCTACCATTCCTTTATAAAACTATTCATATGAAACTATTTCACAAATCACACAAATGGCAATGTTTTGCCAGGTCATTGGCTCCAATTTAAATTTGGAAAAATCATAGTTACTACACTTATTAATATTTGTTCTTATATAGTTAATTCTTATAAATCTCTCCTACATGTCATCTCTTAGCTAAGAAACTAAAATGTGTTTTTAGTGCCTTACCTGGGCAATATGCTAAGCTCAACCCAATAAATGTAAATGAAATAATAACAATAGTAGGTAACGGTTCTTGGATGCTTTTAAAAAAGATACTATTATCTTCACTTTGTTTGGTGTAA